GCCCCCTACTACCGGCCCCCTACTACCTGTCCCCTACTACCAGCCCTCTACTACTGGCCCCCTGTACCGGCCCCCTACTACCAGCCCTCTACTACCTGCCCCCTACTACCAGCCCTCTACTACCGGCCCCCTGTACCGGCCCCCTACTACTGGCCCCCTACTACCTGTCCCCTACTACCGGCCCTCTACTACCGGCCCCCTACTACTGGCCCTCTACTACCTGCCCTCTACTACCAGCCCCCTACTACCGGCCCTCTACTACCTGCCCTCTACTACCTGCCCCCTACTACTGGCCCCCTACTACCTGCCCTCTACTACTTGCCCTCTACTACCTGCCCCAGGGCTAAGGGCTTGGGTACAATAACAGTCTGACATAACATGTCCTAGATTAGGGACTGGGGAGATGGCTCAGTGGAATAAGCAGTTCCTGGCAAGTGCAAGGGACTGAGTTCAATCCCCGGTTCTGCCAAACTGAAGAACATGTTCTAGATTTAAATTAACTTGTATGGAAAAAAACAGTAAAATTCAATTCCCATTTTATTTATTTATACTTTTTATAACATGTGGTAATATTATTTTGGGCAAGAAAAAATCCTTCAACTACCCAAACTTAAAGATAGATGTTAGAGTCAGGTATTTAAAAAATGTAGAGGGAGCTTTTTCATATGTTAAAAACACATGCGTTAGTTATTCAAGGTTCAGACAGTTCAAAATGTGAGAGTCATGCTCTAGTTTTAGAAATCTGTTTATATGGAGTAAAATGCTATGAAATCACTATAAAAACAAGGAAGTGAGAAATGGGAAAGGAGTAAGTTTTTTGCTCTCTGCGCCTGTCTCACTATGTAGCCTGGGCTAGCCTCAAACTTCCAGCGCTTCTCCTGCCTCAGCCCCACGAGCGAGCGAGCCAGCGAGCGGGGCTTACAGGCGTGCACCACCCAGGGAGAAGGTTTCTCTTCAGGTCAGAATTCAAGAATGTGGAGAAATACACTAGAATATTTTATTAGGTCTCTTAAAAACTACTTGAAATATTCCAATATAGCAGTATAGTTAATGCTCAAAATGCAGGTCTAGTTGAAAGCATAAATAAAAAGGATACATAAAAATTAGCAGTAAATCTTAAAAGGTAAAAGGATATCTTAGTTAACTTAAGGGCAGCATGCTCTGATTTGCATTTCTCTAATGACCTATGAAGCTGAAATTTTTCCATGTATCTATAGGCCACTTGTACTTCTTCTG